GAGATACAAAGCTTCAGTTAAGGACTGCAACTACCTTGGTACTACTCAATACAACTACAAACGCTAATGAACGAATTGAAAGTGGCAGTCAGCTCAACGAGTAATGTGATTACTGAACACGTACAATATCAAAATAAAACAACAAGGGGTGCAAGCCCCCTCCATGAAAAACGATCACACCATATTATCATTTTGGACGTGTCCGGATACTTTTGATCAAATAGTGTAAGTGACTGGCTCCGGAGTCCTCGAAGAGTATCAGGAGCACCAAAAACTTTCACAGAAATTTGGAACCTATTCAAATACCCATAGATACCTTCAAAATTAGTGTAAATTCACTCATCGTGTACACATGCAAGATTGTAAGAAAATTTCTAAATTGGGGCAAAAGATTAATATATCTACGTCTTTTATATTAACCCAAAGAATAGTTAACTAAAAACCCAGCGATTGCCAAGGAAAAACTGCCATATAATAATAATAATAATAATAATAATAATAATAATAATAATAATAATAATAATAATAATAATAAATTGCCATAATTGAGAGGTGGCACTCGGCGCATAAAGTCTCTTTAGTATTAAATCCGCCACAGCCAAGATTCGAACGTAGAGTTGTGGAGTTTACAAAGCTTCAGTTGCAGACCCCACAGAGCGACTCTTAACTACACGCCCTAAAACTTCCTCATTATGTAGAAAGGTAGTACCAGCAGAAACAGACAACCCACAACCTCGCGACGTGTCGGATGGGCAAGGAGGGTCGTGTCGCGTCGGACGCGTGTCGGCACGCGTGTTGCCGTGACCTTGCGGGCCGCGCGCTGACCGTCCGCTGTGCGTTTCACCGCGGGCCCGGGTTCGAAGGTCAGCGCCGGCCAGATTCCATCCGCGCCGCCCACTCCGCGTCGCCGCCAAACGAGCCCGTCACCCCAACGCAGTGGGCCCAACTTCCGATATCGCGCGACGGACGGTTCGCCTCATAAAGCAGTAGTACTAGCAGAGGTGGCTCAGAGAATCAACTGATGTCACTGCTGTGCCTCTGACAGAGGTCCCAGAGTTCAAGTACCGACAGTGGCAGGATTTTTTGACCCCAACTACATAGCTTAGTCAAATACTGGTGCTGTCTGGAGGAGAATTCTGGCGGCCGGCTGCCCTGATCGGTAGTTTCCCATGATATCTGCGATCAACGCCTGGCGAACGCCGTAGCAGTACCCTAACAAACGGGCCACGGACCGCACGCGATCTACCAAACATGTCGGGAGTCCATGCGGGAGCTTAGGGCTTGTATGCTGCACCACTGGTAGGAGATATCTGGTTGGGGAAAACTCCGCTAGCAGACTGTAGGTCGGCGCCGCTCACCATCCCGCGGATGATGATCACCACCACAGACACATATCCTACTCTTACGGGACTAATGATCTCAGCAGTTGACGCACCCGGAATCACTAATTAGTTGATAATGCTGTAATTGTGATTGTGCAGTAACTGTGCTGTGTCACGATTTTGTTGCACAAGTCTAAATCTCTTTCATAATAATCACTTGGAAATATTATTTTTTCCTCAGAAGCAGTAAGAACAATATAGTGTCAAATTAGGGGTCTACAGTCCTCTCACGTTTACTGCAATTTTAGTGTGTTTACTCATTCACAGTTCCGGGGCAGTATGAAGTAATGCATGCTTCAAGGCCAGGCTTTCTGAGGTCAGTCTGAAGTTATTTTTGCATTTTAAACGCCGGTTTTCAATTTGTGGAACGTTCGAAGGGGAACATTGATTTTACACACCGACCGTGGGTCGTGCCCACTGTGCGTGGAAGGCATTTTGCCACCGCCCACGAGTGAAAGGCGCCCGGAGCGGGCATTTTGTCATTGGGGCGGAGGAGGATTAACTCCGCGGTGCCTCCCGAAATACTCATTACGCTTTCGCGAGATTGGACAAGTTAAACTGGCATTTGTAGAGACCTGAACCTTTCTGAGACAAGTGCGTGACCATAGAGGCAGTATATTGAAAGAGAATATTTTTGTAGAAGATAAATTTGATGTGATGGTTATGCCAACTCACTTTCTAATGTTATGGAATTCACGTATTGTATTGATTTTTTACTGACCATAAAACTGGTTTCAAATTATCTACTCTATGCACCTATTCTTAAAACGTAATGGAAGGAAAAGGTTTTAATCATCTTCGTTTATTAAATTTAGATTATTAGTAACAAGATATACACACGAACACTACCGAATAATTGAGGTTTCTTTGCACTACAATGCTGCGGCTTCTTCAGACCTATATTTTCAGCGTTAATTATTTCTGCCACATTTATTTTATTCAAATTATGATATAACATAATTAATTACGTGCACAAAAGTAAGACAAGAATACAGAAAACGGACGTTTGAATATTTTCATTCTCAAACTGAACTCTTAGAGATTGGAACAGTTTGCCTACGACAATCTTTTAACCCTTTCCTAGAGCTTGAAAAATTTTAAAAATAAATTAGTTTTCTAGCTATTTATGAACATTTTAAGTCAATGTATTACTTTTTAGTTTCTTCTGTTAAATTTTTAGTACTTCCTAATAAGTACGTTTGTTTAATTGTTATTGTTAGTAGCAGTTTTATAATAATAATAATAATTATTATTATTATTATTATTATTATTATTATTATTATTATTTTATTACTATTTATGTTGTGCGGTGAAATGAAATGATGTGTAATAAGGTTTGCGCGGTGAAATTTTATACTATTTATTATCAATTATTGTTTTTAATTAACTACTCTCTTGTAATTTATTGTTAGTCAATGTAAGCTTATTTAATGTAAAGTGAAGATATTCTGCCACCAAGTTGCAATATTTAATTGCAGAATTAATCATAAATCTAATCTAAAATCTAATCTTAATTACTGTAAGCTGAATGTTAGAAAAATTGCACCGCCATTGTTTCTGAAAGATCTCCTGATTGGTTCCAGTTGAATGTTCAGAAGGGCAAACCGACTTGCGGTGGACAATGATTGTCCTGTAACACTAAGCGTTGGGATGGAAATAAGTGATCTATGTGGGAGACACAAAAGGTTCACGTCAAGGTTTTTGGAGTTCTCTAGTTTGCAACAACTTTAATTTTAACCATTTTTCCTTTCAATTTTAACCCGTTAATACATCTCATTAAACAATCTTAACTTATAGCTTTCTACTACAATATCTACAGTGAAGAATTAAGACCTTACGTCTTGGACTTTTCCCATTTTAACGATGAGATGTTTAAGAAAAAAATATTACGTTCGAAAGATGCACTCGTACTAGGATATTCCGTAGAATCAATCTCAAAATTGGAAAAGTTATTGAACTAGGTGGCAGAATTTCTGAATTCGTAATATTTTTACAAAGCAACAAAAACACAACGAATAAAATGTGTTTCTAAGTTGCGTGTAATATAGAAAGGTATTGCCAAATTATTCTCTTATGATATTCTAATTTCTCTTGTGACTTCAATAACAATATATACGCATGCGCGTGATTTGCTGGAAACTCCGGTTGAAACACATAGGAACTTCGGTTACAAAAAAATAATGTTTTACAGAATGTTACTAATATTTCAGTTCTAATCTCGTATGTTTCGAATTTATTCGAGAACTGAGGGCATTATACATGACAGATTGGATGCCAGATGGAAAAATGTCACGTTCAAATTTTTGTACGCTTTTAGTACCGACTCTGGTGGCGTGTTAACAAATTAGGCAGAGAAAGGCAAATTTTGGTGGGCATTTTGTCATCATGAGTCAGAGACCTGAAGGACCTTCCGAGGCTCGCCAGGCTTTCGCCAAGCCGCTGATTTACAGATGCGTATGCGGTAGAAAGCCTAATAGGCGTTCCTTGCGGGTCGTCCAGTCTAGTTCCGGGAATAATCCAAACTTAAAAGGTCTTCCGGCACAGACTTAGCCCCCTTTATGACTCCAACTTTTTACGACCGCCCGCACTCTTTCGGAGCTTTTACAGCTTCTGTGTGCGTACGGGGAAAATGGGCGCCATCTGTTGCAGGATGTGGAATAACAAGCATTTTGTGACGTAACCTATTTCGGACAAAAAAGTCGCAAAATTTATCTGTTCATCACTTTTTGTCGAGTTTCCGAACACACAGAATTGTTTTTTTTCTTCTAATTTTACAATCACGCATACAAAAAAGAAACTTTAATCTTCAGTTACATTCTAAAAGTTCTTTAACACGTAGTAAGATACTTTGCATGGACAAGGTAGTGTCAAACTGAACGTTTTAATCCCAAGATGTATATGAGAAATCAATAAAATTGTTCCCTACTTGAGTTAGATAAAATGTCACCAATGACGTTGGACAAATTAATTAGGATGTTTGCAATATTAACACTGAGTAATCCTTGCCGCATGCAGAATATCTGTTAAGGCTTTTTTGGTTCTTTAATGACCATTTCGCTTCCCAACTCTAGCGGCTGAGGTGGCTGGAGGTATCAATTGATTTCACAGTAGTGCCTCAGACCGAGAAGTACTAGGGTTCAAGTCTCAACGGTAGCAGTATTTTAGACACTTCCTAAATAGCTAGGTCAAATTCACCCAGGATAATTCTATCGGCCGGCTGTTTCGACCAGGCAAATGCCGGAGCAGCCCCCGTAAGAAACGAGTCACGGACGGCGCGCGATCTGTCCTTCCTCTTCCTTGTCCTATTCTCACCCTTTACTTACATACTCTCACTTACATGTCGCACACAACCACACATGCCAGGAGACAAGAGATTTTCCCGGCTAGGGCGGTGCCATGGAGGTGGGAGATACCTGGTTAGGGAAAACCCGCAATCCGCCGAGTAAGTCGTCATAGGATCTCGCCATCCAGCAGGGGAAGGTCACTGCACTCCCGCGATAAAAACATCAACATGCGGTTAACTTCCGGGACTAATGACGTTAGCAGTTGACGCACCCGGAATCACTAATCATTCAATGAATCTAATCGTGCTTGCTCTATTTGTGTGCTGAGAGCGCGGTGTGCGCGTTGGTGCGCAGGCAGCTGGTGCGGGTGACGACGGTGGAGATGGTGCCCACCACCGTGCTCACCTACACGTGGTGCCTGCGCGTGCCCCCGCGCTGCGCCAAGAACCGCACCGAGATGCGCCGCAAGGTGGTGGAACACGTAAGTAGCACTCGCCGTCGCGCGACCCCCTGCACGGATAAGATAAGTGTTTGATTCCTTTGCGGAATCCGACGACGCCTAAAAATTGCGTTGGGCATCCTGGGATTATTTGAACTAATCTTGAAGCATCAATAATAGTTATTTTCATATTAAGTGTGTAACGTTTCCGATGCCTGAAAATTAAATTTTAGAACGGCTTGCCTGGACATGCTGGGATTATTTGAACTAATTTTGAAGCATCAATAATAGTTATTTTCATATTAAGAGTGCAACGTTTCCGTTTCTTTCACGGTCACAGATTGAGATTTTTACCAATGAATAAATCTTAATCGAGACGATGAAAAAAACGGAAACTTCACAAACGAAATGTGATCAATATTTTTTTCTACAACTGCATAATAATATAATACAAAAGGTTTTGTATTGGAGACATAAGCCTGATACCCCGTACAATATAGATATGCATTTCACAGGACCATGATTAGAGAAGAGCATACTAAAACCCTTTTCTTCACTTTAGCAACAATCTTTTTTTAATGGATATTAATAAATGAACTTCGCCTAGTGCTAGCAATGCACAAACGTTTGTTGTTTTTTTTTTGGACACTTGTAAAAAATATTTTTTTATATACCATTTCAAACGACCTTTTCGGTTGCACGAAATTGATCATAATAGGGCATTTTACGGCAGAAATGATGACGTATTAGCATTTTACGACTCAAATGATGTGTCATCACAATCGCAACTAGAGAGCCGTAGGGAGGTGTATATTCGACCACCGTTTTCTTGCACAGATGCACATACCCGAGACGTCACAAGAAAGTTGTTTCGCAAAATTAAGTTTGATTTTTTTATATATTTATAACACTGTTATACAAAAACATCGTTTGCAACTCGTTTATAATGTTGCTTCATTGTATTAGAACAAATTTGAAAACTCGCTCCTAACATCGTTCGTTTTAAATAATGTATTTGATGGAATAAAGTTTAACAATTCTTTACATCGTTAAGCTTTACTTCATCAGTACATCATTTGAAAACGAGCGATGTTAGGAGCGATTTTTCAAATTGGCATAACCTACTACTCAATTTATTTGATGGTAATCAATGATTTTCAATCATTCTGATGGGGAAAGAATCAGGATATGTATTTATCTTCTTAGCATTTTTAATTTTAGGATAGTTTTAATTTATGCTCGTGAATTATGCATGCTTCTGTAACTCAGCAACAAAAATTAATTTTACAGGATCAAAATGAGTCTTGTGTATGAATATTTGTGTCGTTGTTTTGATATGAGAGTGTGTATAATTTTCATGTGAAGAACATGTGTTGTGCTGGCGCAGGAAATTCAGTTTGTGTTTCTTGTGTGTGGTTTCGGAAAATTGAGGAACACATGCCTTCTTGCCTTAGAAGAGTATTGTTTAAATATAATCCCTATTGACGTCATGCAACAGCAAGCACCCAAGGAAAATGCCGCCCACCTTTAACCGCACCCTTTACATCAAACGGGTCTGAATATGAATGTTCAATATTTGAATAGAGTGTATGTTACTGGCATTGGTGAGGGAACCATAGCCCCTTGGCATTGTGAATTAATGACTTATTCGCTTTCTTATTCGGATATTATTAGGAATCAAGTAAAACATCTTGCAGGGGAAATATAAGTATAAATAGAGGTATGTTGCTAATGAGGGATAACATCGAAATTCGAAATGTCTGTAATAAGGATAAGGAAGAAGAAATGGCATTGCGAAGTCAATAGATGTTTGACTGCCTGGGAAACGTCACATTACAGGCAGCATCCTAGTTGCAAATGTTGTATGTATCATACTGCGACCTTCGTGCATTTCGTCCTAACTTTGACAACTGCTAGGACACGACATTTCCTGGACAGTCAAGTATTAGTCAATATTAGTATTTGGTTCTAGTTACTCTTATCAACATTTTATGTACAGAATACATAGGCAATTGACACATTACGTACCAATTATCAATTTGGCAAGAAGAAGATTAAAAGTTCTAATTATGAGTGACTGAAAAAAGAAAAATATTCACCCTAACTTTTAATTAAACAAATATTTATTGACATATGTTGACGTGTTTGAAATGAAGCAGCTATTGACGAAATTATAGCTCAAGAATAAAATTGAGAAACACTGGAATTTTAGAATTATTCAGTAAAAACCTAATTGAATGTATCAGTATATTGTGTTCTTTAACAGGAAAACTAAGAATGGTGCCAACAGTAAAACCTGTTTCAAGCAGCGATGTTTCTTGCTCAGGAAACTTCCACACGAACAAATTCAATATTGAATGCCTTCGAACATGTCTGGTATAATGGAACCACCAACAACCATCAGTGTAAACATTAAAAAGGAGGCGCTTAATATCCGCGTGATGAGTAAAATAAAATATCAGCGTCGATTCTAGAAAGCAAACGACGTTCTTGACAACTCTCTTCACTTTCTTCGGCCCCTCGCCTGTGGGGAAGGGCGGTGGGAGCACGAAGCAACAGGTTCCGTGACAGCTGCGAAAGGATGAACCTCGAAAAGACGCCAAAGTGACGTACGCGGAAGGGCAGCGCATCACGAACCTACAAGCGTCGTATGTCTGTATATGTATATATATATGTGTGTGTGTGTGTGTGTGTGTGTGTGTATGTATATATTATTTAAAGACGCCTCAACTTCTAGGGCATTAGCTACCACTATTGCTTGTAACTGTATGGTTACTGTGAGGATGACACGATATGATGATGATGCTGATGATAATCATCAGATTCAGATTATATATTGTTATTTGAGATCGCATCAATTTCTAGGTCATTAGCAACCACTATTGCTTGTAACGATATGGTTACTGTTAGGATGACACAATATGATGATGATAGGGGTGAAAGGACGAACACAAAACAACCACGCCCGAGGCGGGACTCGCACCCGAGATCTTTCAGTCCGAGATCGCTACGGCACTACTGCTTTATTGATCTCGGCCACCGGATCGACAAGCATCGTATTTGTTTCCCAAAATTCTTATCCGTAAAGAGCTATCGTGTTCCCATCTCAAGATGTTTTTATGAAAAAGGTGGTAGAAAGGAGACACAAATAGTAAATTTGAACATTACGAGTATTGTAAGGCAAGATGTTTTTAGACGAGAGCAACACTTCTAACATTAAAGATCCAGTATATGAAGTGTCAGTCATTTTTCTTCCTGAGATAACATTATACTTTCATGTTGCAATATATTTTGATTTTCGTAAAAAATCGTCTATATGTTCGATATTTTAAATGGTGATTGTATTTTTAGAAATCGTAAGTCTTCTCAAAAATGTATTAAGATTGCTTTTATAGTTATAGTTTATTTTTAAAATATGATATTAGTAAGGAGGGTAAGATTTCAACATTGTTCTTGTCATTATAATAACTACACTTCAATATTTTTACATAAAAAAAGAAATAACGGAAGCAGTTTTTCAAATATCATCTTTGAATCATGTATATTACACAATATACGTATTTTACATCGACGTTTCGCCTGACATGTCGCAGGCTTCCTGACTGCCCAAAGGAAGCCTACAACATGTTAGGCGAATCGTCGGCTTCTCAGCCAACGACGCGGTGTCTCCCGGATAGCCGAGAATTTACATATTTCCATACATTCTACAGCCTTGTAGAGTTGTCGGCAAATGGCGAGAAAGGAGAACGAATTCGCTACCAATACAAATACGCTTATGTGAGAGAGGTTTGTGTTCTGTTGTCGTTTCACCCGTTGCACAGTTTACAGTCCTTCTTGTGTGCGTTGTATTCTGAGCGAAAGGTGCAAAAACTCACAATGGCGTCTTGTGGATCTGTTGCAACGCCTTGCAGAGAACGAGCCAGTTGTAGAATGGAGACTGCGAATTTTGATGTGAAAATAGAAAGGACTTGCAGTGGCACAAGGACACGAGATGTTACCCAGTTGTTGCGTTTCGTTTCATTGTACTGCAAAGGAACAAAAAAGAACTAATTGCTTTAACACGCCAATTAACCTGTCAGCAAGCGCATTTATGTTTTTGTGATACTATTTTTTTATTATTCCATTTTTGTACATATAAAAATGTTATTCGTAGTTTAATATAACACTTAATTCTACATATTTAAAAATGTTTGTCTTTCTGTATACATAAGCCTCTTAGAAAAAATTTAAGATTTTCTTTTGTGATTCCCCAGAGCTTCAATGAATTTTGAAGTAAGTCTGCTTAGTAAGTCTGCCTTTTTAAATGAACGACTCAGACACAGAAATTAATAACCAAGTCGAACACATGCGCTGGTGATCAGATTGCTTAGTAGTTCCGATTTTGTGAAAAAGATGCAGTGTGGAAGAGGTGTGAAAACCTATGAAAACCCTTCAAACTGTGAAAAGAAAATGTGAAAACACTAGAAACTCGAGGGCAGTGTCAGGGGATTCGTAAGATAGCATCTGATGATGTTGTCGAATTTTTTCGTTAAAGTAGTCATTGTTCGCCATTATACATATATTGTTAAATCAAATTATACGTTTTCTTGATTTGAGAAACATAATACGCAAAAATAATAAATAAGGTTTTAATAACGATTAATAATAACAATTAATAATAACTATTTTCAATTGTTAATGTAGTGTTGTCATCATCAAAAACGTAATTTTAAGTTAAGAGAAGGTTCACATATTTCGTAGTGAATAATTTATAGTTTAAAATGATTGGATATTTCGCAGCTTTTCAGAATGTTTCATTAGAGATTTACTTCAAATGATGATACACATGAAATTGAGTATAATATAGACGAGCCTACTCCTCCCTGTTTATTTCATTCGATTCAAGGCCACCAAAAACGTTCAAATTTTTCATAGACTTTCCTAGATTGATTGACGGACCTGCAGTTCTCGGTACTGTCCAGCAGTCTCAGACTGTGAGGTGCACAGCACCATGAGTTGAACCGTCTACTGGTGGCGTTGTATTTCCTGACAGCTTGCGTTGACCTGGAGGTAATCTTCATAATGCGACCATTGCCGAGTGTTAGATTTTTTGTTCTGGTACTGTATGCTTTATGGCGCATTTGTTATTTTCACTTGTCTTACAAATGTGAACGATAAAAAGGAGCAATTGAGAAAAAATGCTATTTGATGTATTAGTTCAAATATTGATGGTGAAATTGGTGATGAGTTCTATGGAGAGGAAGTAGATGAAAGCTACACGTTTAATCGCGTCAGACAATAAGTTGGGTTCAAGCTTTGTTTTCTACAATGTTGTATGTAGGTGAAATCAATACCTTAAACTATCACTAAACTGTAAAACTAATAGTAATATACCTCAATTCCTGAAAATGCCACTCGAAATTAATATCCAATAATCGAAAACGGAAACTTGTTGCTGTATACAAAGTCCCATCCGAATTGCGCTCGAAGATATATCAACAAGCAGAAACATCTGAATCTCAAAATCTCAGACTCAGAATGCATATCTCAAAATCTCAAGCTTGTGAAAATTCTTTCAAAAACTGATCTTTGAAAGGTCCTTCAAATAACAACTAAAAACCTTTTGATGGTTCAAATTAATTCACGTCCAATTTCTAAACCCAGAGCTATCGTCCATGACGCGTCTATTTCAAATGCATTCGCCAAATCAATCAAACAAAAGTAGTTATTGTTAAAACGAACACATACAGTGTCTTGATGTTGATTTACAGATTATAAAATGAAATGCCAGGAGAGACTGCTCAGGGAACCAACTGATGTCACTGCAGTCCTTCTGACCAGGAGGTGGTTGGAGTCCCCACGGTGACAGGATTTTCGACTCGTCAGCTAGGTCGAATTCAGTCGCTGTCTGGAGGAGAATTCTAACAGCCGGCTGGTCTGATCAGTAGTTTTCCGTTGTTTCTCCGATCAATACCAGGCGAATGCTGGAGCAATACCTTAACAAACGGGCCACTAACTAGCACTATACTACCACACATGCCTGGAGACCGATCAGAGACTCCGAGCTTGTCCTGGCTGGGGCGGTGCCCCGCTGGTGGGAGATACCTGTTTGGGAAACCCTCCGCTAAGCAACGGCACGTCGGCGCCGTATCTCGCCATCCAGAGGGTAAAAGACCACAGCTATCTCCCGAGCAAAAACATGTACTACACTTACGGGAAGAGAGGCCTCCGTAGTTGACGTGCCCGGAACCACTGACGATCAATCATGAATGAATCAATGAAACGAAATTAAAAATAAAGCGACATTAAAGGTGCAACGCGTTCGCGCGAGAGCAGAAGGGAGAGGGCCTCCCCCACGCGCTGTTCTTCCCGCAGACGGTGCCGCGCTGGCGGCTGGTGCAGTACTGCTGTGCGGGCTACCGCCCGGCGCCCGACCCTCCGCCCGGCGCAGGCGGCCGCCGCTGCGCGCCCGAGTGCCCCATGGGCTGCGCGCACGGCGTCTGCGCAGAGCCGCACCGCTGCGAGTGCAGCGCGGGCTTCTCCGGGCTGCGCTGCGACACGCGTGAGTATACCGCGCTCTCTGCGACGCCTTGGAAATGCCCTGATGGGGCGGGGGTACGTTAAATGTTCCGCACAAAACTGGACTTTATTTGCTTTTGTTGTCATAGCCTTCCGCGGCTCGAGTTCATGACTTTTTGGCTGTCCGGGTGACGCCGCGTCGTTGGCTGAGAGGCCGACGCCAAGAAGTCATTTTTTTTTTGCTTTTATTGTTTTTGGTTTTGTTAGTAATTAAATTCCGTCAACTTATTTCAGGCAAGGATGAAAAATTTGATATTAAAATATGTAACGCTAAAATAAACTTCAAATATTTTCTGTAATTTCAATATGTATTCTAACCATTTAGAATACGTGGACAATTTTTGGACTTGTAGATGATTAAATGCGTATTTGCAATTTTGTTTTAATTAAATAAGCATGTGTACATTTGGTGTATTCAGTCAATTTATTAACATTTACTCCTCGGAATTACAGTAGTGAATCGCGCATCTGTTTTTACTTTACAATACATCACACAAAACACACATGAATTGCATTTCCTTTACACTAACGTAGCCACAACCAATCATCTATATCTAGATATTTTTGTTCTCATAACATACCCGCATCGTAACATACCCGATTCATAATTATAATTTCGCAGTGATGAGCAAACGAAGATAAGGGTGGAAGTAGGAACATAATTAAATTCCCTTTTTTAACTCCTCCGTTTATAACTTTGCACTTTTGAAAGTGCGTAACTATCTCTCATTCCCTTTTTGTATTTTCCCTCTTTCTGTATCTCATTTCTATATTTCTTTCATCCTGGCTCTCTTCTCTCGTTTTTATTGTCTCTGTTTTTCCTCTTTCTTTCTTTCTCTTCTTCTTTCTATCTTATTTTGTCTGGTCTACTGAAGACTTTTCCTCTCTTTTTCATCTCTCTATTTTCATCATCTCCACGTGTCATACTCTTCTATATCCCTCATTAACTGTGTTACTCTCTGAGTAATTTTGGTGTATTAAACGGGTCCTCAGCTGATGTCATGGTGGCTGGGCGGTCCAGAGGTTCAGGCACTGGGTAGAGAATTCTAGCGGCTGGCTGCTCTGATCGGTAGCATTCCGTGATTTCCCCGATCAACACAAGGCTAATGCCAGAACAGGTACCCTAACAAACTGGCTTCGAACCGTAAGCATCACTTTTTTTTCTTCTCTACCCTATCCTCACCTCTTACACACTCACACACACACACACAAACATACATATACAAATACACACACACACACACACAAACATACATATACACATACACATACACATACACATACACATACACATACACATACACATACACATACACATATACACATTACACATATACACATACACATATACACATACCACGAGTATTACACATTACAACATATACACATACATCAATTAACACATACACATATACACATACCATATACCATACACATATACACATTACAAACATAATACACATACACATATACACATTACACATATACACATTACACATGACACATACACATACACACTCACATTAACATACACAGATACACATACACATACACATACACTATACACATACACATAACACATACACTATACACATACACAATACACATACACATATCACATACACATACGATACACTTCCAACGTACATGGACTACCACTACCACTCTAGTCGGGGAGATCATCATTCAGAAGCTTAGAAAGCTTCTCGGATGTGGAGGGGAGGTACGGCGCTCTCGGTCTCCCGCATTGAAGGCCAGGACGCGCGTTGCCGCAGCGTGTCCGGCGGGACGTGGCGGCGAGGGCTGCCGGCAACTGCTCTGCGCTGGCGGGCAGCGGCGACCGCGGCGACGGGCGCGTGCGCGTGCGCGGCCGGGTGGCGCGGCGCAGCGCTCCAACCACGCGTGCCGCGCGCGAGCGCCTTCGGGCCCGGCTGCACGCAGCGCTGCCCGGCAGTTGCCTGCCGCGCTGGCGCCCTGCCCACGGGCGACCGGCGCCTGCCCCGAGCGGCCACCGCCCCCTCCGACCACCCCGTGCCCGCGCCCCCGCGCCGCCCGCCCCGGCCCCGCCCCCGGCCGGCTGACCACCCCCGCCGCTGGACGGGCACACCGCCCCCGCAACGCCTCGACTGCCACCGCCGCCCCCGCGCCCCCGCCGGCCGCCGCCGCCAGCGCCCCACCGGGACACCCCCTGCCCACACCCAGGTGCGTGCCATGCAATAGATTTTCCAATGAAATAAAAGTTCTTGTAATGCTTTCGTGTATATTTCTGTCTGTTATTAATAATAATAATAATAAAATAAAATAATGATAATAATAATAATAATCAATCAATAATATAATAATAATAATAATAATAATAATAATAATAATAATTAATAACTAATAATAATAATTAATAAATAAAATAATAATAATAATAATAATAATTAATAATAATTAATAATAATAAATAATAATACAAATAATAATAATAAAAATAAAAATAATAGTTTCTTGTCATGCCCGAAAAAAATTTTGTAACTTAAGTACATCTATTTCATTCATTTCAATCTTTCCAACACCATGAGACCCTTTCCAGGTTAGTTTCCCTCGAAATATGCAGACACCTCGCTCTACTTTTCAGTCGCGAGTATGAATAACATATGTATAAATGTGATGCATGACGATGAACCTTCGGTTGTTTTCAGATGAGATCTCGGTCATTTAAGAAAAGTACTTTCAGAAAACAAATTTCTTGAAAGAAAACATAGAACAATTCTAACAAAATAACCCAAACTCGATGCGGAAACTTTCCTCGTCACCAGCTGTTAATAGCAAGCAATGTTATAGCAGCAATGTAAAGACGTAAAAAAATTAAAAAAAAATAAATTAAACAATTATTAATTTATACATACTCTTATGAAAAATTAAGTAGATGTGATTAAAACATGTCCAACAAAAGAATAGGTACAATAGCAGTCATTTGCTGCTGCAGTTAAGTGTGGGCAGAAGAAGAAAGAACGTTCATAATAACACTATTTTATATCTGATAGTACATAGAAGAAGACGTATGATTGAGTGGTTCTTTAAAGAAGAATACAGATTTTCAAAATTTCCTTAGAATTATTCAATGGTATTAATTTTGATCCTTTTTATTTTAATATAGGATATGGAAAATGTATAAGAATATGAAGTAAATTGATTCATGTGGTAGAGCCAAATAGGCATTCCTATTTAAATTTTTCATGCCTGAAGTCCTCATTTAGTCTGTAGATACATTTTATTCTGATGTCTAGCCAACAAAGTTAGCAGTTCTAATTCAAACTATGCATGTAATTTATTCGTACGATGTTTGATACCTTCAACTCCAAAAAGAAGCTGATAGGGAAATAAGCGGACGTATTTATAGTGTGGAGTATAGATCATTCCATTTTATTTTCGATTTTTTTTTAGTATTTGATGCCCTGTTGGTTCCTCAAATATAAATTTGTTGGATTTTGAGTAAGTTATGATTGCATCAGCAATCAAAAACTTTACTCCAAAGCAAAACTAAATTTATGAGTCTAGCTTGCCGTTACGTCACATTTAGAATTATAGGTGATTGTGGTGCGTTATCATTCGCATTCCATGAAATAATTATACAAACGTGTCATTGCCAACAAATACTAATTAAACTAATTACTATTGTTGGCAATGACAACGTTATAATATTTAGCGTCACAATTAATTTGATATCGTCAAGGCTAGAAGTGAATTGAGTTTCGGTTATTTTAAGGTGAAGTTGCTTTGAAATCTTTTGTATTAGCGCCGGCTGCGGTGGCGTTGCAGGCTGCCCGCCGACGCGGCGCGGCCGGGCGGCGGACTGTGGGGCGGTCTGCAGCGGCTCCACGCAGGGCCCCGCCCGACGCCTCGCCCACACGACGCCCCGGGCGCGCGGCGACGCCGCTGGACGACTCGGGCCGCCCCGCCGCCCACCGACGCCCCGGCGCCGGACGACGCCGACGCCGACGCCGACGGCGACGACAACCACGACGATTCGCGGACACGACGAGTCGCTCGGATCGTGGACGCGTGACCGGGCGACCCACACCACGTCGTACCCCGCACCCGGGCCCGCACCACGGAGGCCCCGCCCCCGCCCGTGGCCGTGGAGGGCGCCCGGGGGCGAGGGTGGGGCCGGCAGGGCGGGGCGGGGGCGCCGGCCCGGAGGAATGACCCGGAGGCGCAGCGCAGAAGGCGCGGACGCCAAGAAGGCCGCGCCGCCAAGGACGGCCCGCGAGAAGATCCCCCCCGCCGCGGTGCCCCGCAAGCGTCCGCTTCATCTGTCACATTAACTAATTAATTACTTACTTAAATAATTCATTAATTCATTAATATAACAGACTAATTAATATTTTCGCTTACATGTCATGTTCGTTAATTAATTACTGATTAATTAATTCAATACATATAACGGACTTAATTAATAATTAATTAAGTTTAAAGCAGAAATAACAATGCTTCATCTTGCCGATACGGGTAGTCCGAGAAATTGCAAGTAGTGCCGTGGCGATCTCGGGGGAAAAGGGATCCGGGCTCGAATCCTGCTACCTCTGCCATGGTTGTGCTGTTGTTTCGTAAATGTGCGTGTTCGTCTAGATGGACAGTCTTGATGGTTTCTTCTATTTCGAAAAACATCGTGCGTATGGTTTAGTCGCAATTTAGGTGCACTGACGGACTGATATGACAAAAGAAATTCTTGAATAAAAACTCTTTTAAGGTCATCAACCGGGACCCCCGGAAGAACGTTGTTTCCGTTGAAATCTCGAAAGCGATTTTTCGCAGCCATAACATCTACACTCCCTATGTTATTTAATTACTTCCGTTAATTAATACTTACGTATACGCGAAATAAAACGATGAAATTATGCTTGGAAACTTTAATAAAAACGAGAGCCCGCCCCCATTATCGACCGGACCCAGTTAGAAACGGGAAAAGGGAAGCGATGAAAAAAAAGATTCGTCTATATTGTGATAATACGAGATAGAGTGTGCACATTAAACTCCCGCAATGATATGCGATCCGAAACTTAATTTGTGTATCTTTTCATAGGTAAGCACAATAAACAACATTTTTTTTTTCTTGATAATGATTCTGAACTGTATTGTTCTATCATCACAATGTAATAACAGTACGGTCAAAGTACACCATTACATACTATTACGTTGATTATATTAGTATATAACTTATTTAAAAACAGTTAAAACAGATTATTTGAGAAAGTACTAATTCATTAGACAATAATATACTGATGTAGAATTCAAACGGCATTGGAAACTTATTTCGGGCTCAAATAATATGCTTGTAGCTAATACAATTTAACAAATTTAAAATTAATCCATTTCATGCAGTACATGGCTAAATATTAATTGTATTTTTATATTATTATATTTTATATTTAAAACAAAAACTCTATCCAAAATTAATTAGTGTGTTGTTCGATTGGCAGAAAATAAGTAAGATGGCTGCTTTCCAGACACGGAAATCGAAAGAGTCACGCAACGACGAGGGCTCCGCGCTGCCCGAGCGCCGTGTGCGCCCGCGGGCGCCGCTGCCGCCGCCGCTGACGCCGCGCACTGGCCGCGCGTCCCCGACTCCGCCTCCGAGGGACGCGCCCCCCCCGCGTGGGGGGCCGCAGCCCGCGCCGGCAACAACACCATCTCCCCGGACCTCTCAAGCCGCAGGACCTTGGCGCGTCCCTCAAAGGCTCCGTCCCCGGGCCCCGCCGCCTCGGCCCGCCCCGCCGCCGCCCCCCCGCCGCCGCCCCCCGCCCACCCGCCGAGGGCCTTCTACGCTGTCCACGCTGCGAGGTGCGGCGGGGCGGCGGTGCTGGGGGCGCCGCTGGGGGCGTGCGCGGCGCTGCGGCGCGCGCGCTGCGGCTGCGCGCAGGCTGGGCCCCAAGGCGCGGCGCGGCCCGAGGTGGGCCGGCAGCGGCCCCGCCGTCGGCGCCGTGGAGCTGCGGGCGCTGGCCGGCGGCCCCGCTCCGCCCCAGCGACGCTACCGGCCGCAGCGGACGACGCCGCGGTCCGCCCTCGCGGTTGCGTCCGGAGGCCGCTGCAAACGCCCTCGTTCACTATGCCCGAACTGAAACTGAACGCAATGCTTAAACTTAACAGTAATATTTTACATGTTGAAAAACAAGCATTCACAATAACGAAACGTGTTAAGCTTTCGCCTAAAACATTTGATAATATCTGATCGTTATTCAAATGGTGCATAGTATGCTTGCATTTGTGTATGGGTAAGTCTGGGCCAGCGTGCATGCCATTCTTGTTTAACCTAAGATGTGATTTTTATTGATGTGTCACTTTACTTGTGAACCAGCGATTATATAAATTCGTACCCCAATTCAGCAGAATGCGGACATCCCAAACAGGGACATCTGTTGTGAAAAAAATATCGATGACTCAAAAAATTTAAACATGGAATGTTAAGAAAACATCGATCCAAAACCAACGATGTTTTTTTTTAAACTTCGATATTTTTTTTAAAACTGTATTGAGTAGCTAATTGATCTTCACTCGATGGATAATTTGGGAAGTGCTCCGTTTTATTAATTTTCTTTAATTGAGATTTAACTGACAAAACAAAAGAAAAAATCATTAGGGCAATTAACGAAGCTTAGATTACCTGATGGCTACAATTTCAAAAATTATATAGGCTCTTTATGAATTAAACTATTTTGTTATTTTATCCGAAAGTATAATAAGATTTTGTTGACTTTTTCCTATCTTAAAAATTATCCTCTTTAAACCACTTTTTTTAAAAGATCGAACACAACACATCGAATATATAAAAAAAAAAAATCTGGCTTGCTAAAACTAAGATTGTTAAATTTCATCCGATGGTTTTATATAAAGATCAATGGACATCGATTCTTGTCGGCATCACATATACCATTATACCTACCGCGTTCCTTAGTATATTAGCGTCATTTGTTACACCTTGCTGCCTTATAAAATGAATTTTTTTTAGTCCTGGGTCCTAAAATAATTATGTGGTTGTGTGCTTGCAAACCTGTGCATAAGTGAGACTTCATTAAAGAATACAGTATTTCGTTTATGATGTTATAGTTCTTGACCAATCACAGCACGAGCAAGTTTTTTTAAAAACGCAATATTTGAACTTAATCATTGAAAGAAAAGTTCTAGTAAATGTTTCGGGTCGATTGTGTACAATTAAACTTGTATTTAATATTCATATTATGCTTGGCAGTTTTATTTTTCTAATTATAAGTATTTTTGTTCGTTGGAATTTTATTTCAAATAAATTGGATAGTAATTTTCATTTCCGATCCTAATTTGAATTAGCGCAGACAAAGGGACACCAGCCTCAGAGCTTAGAGTAATCGGGAAGCTTGTGCGGAAGCGTGCCTTGATTGAATCCTTGCCTGTCTAACTACCACCAAAACAATTTAAGTGTAAAAGTTTTTAAACAACCTTACAGATTTTACCAATTAATTGTAGAAAAATTACCGTAAGAAGAAAACTCAATATAATATGGGTATTGGATACACTCATCTGTGAGTTCACGATACTCGCTTCGCTTCCCTCCCTCGTATTGTATTTATCACACTCGTGTATTAACACCCATCGTTACATCATCGTTCATAATGCACTATTTCAGCAAGTCGGGAAAGCACATTTATGATGGGCTACGAGCCCCCGTTGAGGACCGTACGCGAATTTAAATAAAAGATTCTGTTGTAAAAGGCCAGAAAAGGACTATCCATATTGACATAGTCTCAGTGTTTTGCGCTCTTGACTTTTCGCGCCGCGCGCTGTGCGTTTACGTTGGCAGCGGTGCCGGCCGCTCGTTTCTTCAGCCCGCTGTACCTGCCCGCGGCGGCGACGGCGACGTCGGAGGCTGGCCGTCGCCCAGGGACGCGCCGGCGGCGCCGCGGGGGCCGGCCGTGGGCGTGCGGCGCGGGCGCGGGCACCGGGTGCTGGGCGCGGTGGCGCGGGCGGCGCGGGGGCGGGGGCTGGTAGCTGACAGGCGCTCTTCCAGCGCGGCCCGCCCCCGCGCCACCTGCAGACGCTGCTCCCTGCCGCCGGCGAGGAGCTGCTGCCGTGATGTGCGTCCCAGGGCGCTCGCCGGCCACGCTTGCGCTTCTCCTGCAATAATTAATTAATAATAAATAATAATAATAATAATAATAATAATAATAATAATAATATTGTCGGCCCCGTGGCGCAGACGGTTGAGGCAGCCGTCGTCTGTGTCGAGGAGGCTGCAGTTCGAGTCTTGCGTAGACATGGTCGTATTTGGGATTGTCCCCTCAGCCCTCATCATCAACCTATCTCATAATTCACACTTCAAGTCCTAACAACCTTGTTGTAATCCAAGGATACAGCTGAAAAGCTGATCCTGGAAGAAAATCACACGTTGGTTGTGTAGCGTGGTCAGTAATGGCCTATACGCTAATAGTAATAATATAATAATATAATAATATAATAATATAATAATATAATAATATAATAATATAATAATATAGTAATATAGTAATATAGTAATATAGTAATATAGTAATATAGTAATATAGTAATATAATAATATAGTAATATATTTATTTTGGCCACAATTGGCGTCTTTGCCAGGTGGTAGCCAATAAATTACACTATACAAATGAAAATGAAGTGACATTAAAGATAATGAATTACCTAGAACCGCATTGCACGGGAGAGTGTCATGATGAGTCATTTTAAACAAAGGAAAACGCGGTATGAATTGAATTGGTGCCTTATTTTACGTGGTGAGACTCAGGCCATGAGGCCTGCTCTTCCGTCTGACCACGCAAATTTCGCTACGCTCCTTTCACCAACTAGCAGAGAAAGGAGGTATTTCTTGGGCGAGGAACAGGCGATTTTGAGTTTAGCTCAGAGGCGTCATGTAGGCTTGATCTTTTACATGCAAGTAAATCTACTAACATGGGGCAGCCGGCTTTACTTCCCCTCCGAAGGAAGGCGTACTAAAGATTTTTTCGCCCTTAAAAATTCACGGCTTCGATCGGGTTTGTACCTGCCAACTTCGGTACA